AGTTACAAGACTTAATGATGCTCTGCTGGTCTGGCTTTGGACTCAATCCTTTCTATTTTTCTCTTCCTCCTTTTGGAATAGGAATGTTTACTATGTGCCATTTTATGTTGGAAATATTTAACTTTTTGTTTGTTTGTTTGTTTTTATTTTAATGTGGATTTTGAGCTAAGAGTTTGCCTTCAGTTTCAGACAAGCAAGACTTGGGACTGACTTTTCAGCAATGTTGGAACTGTTAAGATTTTGGTGACTCTTAGAGATAGACTAAATACACCTTGTATAATGAGGTGGACCTGAGCCTTTTGGGGCACAGAAGTGGAATGTTATGATTTAGATGTAGAATTTCCTCACAAAATCTCAGGTATTCAGAGGTAGGGATTTTGGGAGGTGCTTAGATCATGGGGGTACTATACTTATCAGTGGATTAATTCATTGATGAATTCATAGCTGTTAGGAGGTAGGGCCTGTTTAGAATGGGTGGGTCACTAGGGGTGTGACTTGGAAGGGTGTGTTCTTGTCTCTGGCAGCTTCTCTCATTCCTTTCTTTCTCTTCCTTTCTTCTTTTCTTCTTTCTTTTCCTCCCTTCCTCTTCTTCCCTTCCTCTTCCTCCTTTTCCTCCTTTTTCCTCCTCTTTCTCTCCTTCCTCCTTTCTCTCTCTCTCTCTAGATCAGCTAACCACAGATGTTAATTAAATCAGTTTATTGCTTAGAATTATCTGTTGATTTCTTGTTTTTAATGACTATATTATTGACTTAACCAAGAGCAGTTAAATGCATAGGTACCCAGGTACTGCCTCAATATTCTTACATTATAGATCCCTGGATCATGAACAACATATTAGGGGAAAACATAAAGCAAACTTCGGAACAAAAAAATGAAAAACCTTTATCAAGTATTTCCTGTGCGTCAGGTGTTAAATTCTTAAGATGCAGTATTTCATTTGATCCTTATAACCCTATGAAATATTTCTCTTATTTTAAACCCAAGGGTAATAAATTTCAGAGAGATAAATAACTTGCCCTTAAACATACAATTATTAGGCCCAGAAAGCCTAGCCAAGCTGACTGTAGATTCAAGCTGTATTCCTCCTCCAGAGTGGAAGGAGAAGAGTACAGAAGCAGAGGCAAAGATGAGATGGGAAGGTAAAGTCATCATGGATCTCATTTTACTTATGGTTCTCTTTCATTTGGTTTCCTTTTCTACAATTAATTGCTGCTTTATAAATAATGCAGAACTGAACCCTAAAATATATAATGAGGCATTGAATTCGTCCTCTAAGATACTGTCAGACTTCACACATCCCCCAATATCATGTTAGACACTGAAAACAGAGATAAAATGGTGTTTCCAGGAAGAGGAGCTTCAACGGGAGCTTGTCCTTTCAATAGGAGCTTGCAAATCTCAGCCCACTTTTCAACTAAGGCTTTGTTGACACTGAGAGAAAATTAAAAATAAAATTTATTTTGGAATGTTTGCCTGCTTAGATAAACAAGCATCCAAAACCATGATATTATAGACAAAAATCAGAATCCTGCATAATTTGTCCATTAACTTTTAGAAGGCTTCAATTAGAGACATCATACCAGTGGATGAGGTATTTTAACAAAGTCAGGCTTCTAAATACATTAAATAGGAATGTGCCTTTGATAATGGTCTGCTTTTCTATATAATCAAATTTTTAAAATGGAGTTATCCATGTCCTTGGAGCTATCGATAGACCACTCAAAGCTAAGGCAGATGATATTTGAGAATTTTCAGTTTATTGTTAGATTTTTATATGCATAAACAAGATAAATTACTCAAAAAATAGCAAGACTTGGAATCATATGTTTTCTCCTGCTTCTATATTATATGACTTGAAACCATCTCTTTCATGAGTAAAATTGCCAAAAATAGAAAATTAAATGATTAAACAACCATACCAGATTGCATTAAGAAAATCTAACATGTCTTACCCTATAATCAAAATGGCATTTGAAAAATCTAACTTTCAGTTTTTGTTTTGAGGTTTAAAAAAAAATAGGAACTTTAGAGCTAGATGTGCTTCTAAAAACTTAATAGTTGATCATCCTGAAGTCTTGATTGCCAGAAAGAGCTTTATCTTGATCTCCTACAGAGCCTGAACCCATATCCAAGAATACATCTAAGTACATTATTGAACTTTCAAAAGTAAAAGCATTTTGCAACAGATATCTAACAAATGCAGATTGCAAATCTTTTAAAGTATACTTTCCTAGCAAACAAGAAAAAAAAACCCGACATCACAGTTCTTGCTTCTAAACAAGCTAATATATATAATCAGACATATCTATTTAATCTTCTTTAAATATGTAAATTGGGCGCACAGAGGTTTGTTGTTGCTTTTTGCTGACCCATCATTCACTTCTTTCTCACTTGAGTCCTTTACCACCTGAAAATTTGCAAACTATGTATCAGCTAATGATCCCCAAATGAATTCCCACATATAAGCTTTTCCCTAATAATTTATTCTTTAGAGTTCATCAATGTAGTTATAAAAACAAAATGACTTTTTGCACTGTGTTGTCACCCCCCCATCCAAGAAAAATGAACAGAAAATACTTATAATGGTTCTTAGCCAGGAGCATTTTATCCCTATTCACTAGTGGTAAATGAGTCAGATATAAGTTGGCCAGGAAAAGAGCTGCTTTACCCAAAATCTGAGTATGAAATGAGTCATCTCACTCCAACACCAATGTATCCTCCAAAATAACTGGCAAGAATTTCCTATAAAAAGAATCTTGCCTTCACTCTTTTCCAGTCATTTAGCTCTCTGATTTTTCTAATTGTTCTACTTCCGGTGTGCTTATAAGATTGCATTCATAACAAAGACTCAGGTCTTTATTTTATTTTAAAAGTCGTCATTCCCTATTGAGTATGGGGAAAATTCTGGTAGCATTTCCCACTGAAAGGAGAAATTCTCATAGCCTTAAAGTGCCTCTCTCTCTCTCTCTCTCCCTCTCTCTCCATGTTTGATTCAATTGAAATCCAAGAGCCAATTCTAGAAGAATTGTACTTGTTTTCTGTTGAAAACAAGAGTTCAAAAGCACAGCAAATATTTCAAGCAAAACCATTTTTCTTCCCATAAGATAAATCAATCACAATAAGTATAATCTGTGTATGACTAATAAATTAATGTGAAACCTGGCAACAAGCTTCAACTCTACTTTCCTGTATATTAGGACATTAGCATTCACACTCTCTTTTCCATCAGATGAAGCTTAAAAACAACTGTGGACTGAAGCTGGGGTTAATTCCTGTAAATTATCAGGAGCCATGCACACTATTTACCTGAGGATAAACAAGTGCTTAAAAAGGGCCAATTCCTGCCAAAGGGCTGAGGTTGTTATATTACTGGGGCTTGTAACATCATTCAATATTGTCAATTATTCTAAGCTCTACAAATTTATGGGCAAAATCATTTACAATTCATTTCACTTAAATTGGAATTTAGCCTCATTTTTTTCTATATTAAATGAATTCTAAAGAATAGCTATGCTTCTTTTTTACCCAACACTAACAGATGTTAGTTTCCTCAGTTTTATAGCCCTCAGATGACAGACAACTAACTGTTTTTGGCCTTGGGAATAATTGCAACACCTTTGGATTATGAACTTGGTTCAGTTCTTAGCTGGGAACAGCGGGAAGTCAGTTCATATTATCAAAGATGTAAAATACATTTCCTCTTAAGCTCCAAATATCATAAGATGCCTTTTAATTCTGTAATATATAACTTTTTTCCCTACTGAGAACCTGCTCTTCAGCTCGTTATAATAAGAGAGAAATAATTGCATAAGACCAAAATCTCTTATTCAGTTTATCTCCTGCTCTTGGTCAAAACAAGATGTTAAATCCATTAAACTCTGAGTATCCAGTAAAAGCGAGAAAGCTCAGATCTGTGCATTCTTGGGAAAACTGCCAGCCTATGCAGTAGTAGCAGGATCTGTGTAATTAGTGGTGATGTTATTGACGGAGGGAGTCCTATTTCCTTCTCAGCAGCAATTTAAGAGCGTGAGGTGGCAGGGTTCTAGCAAAGCCTTACCTGATTCACTTTTGCTCTGAGGAAATGTAATCTTGAAGGCAGCCACAGAAAGCACCAGCGTTAGTGTACTTTTGTGGTGGCTTTGGGCACAGCAAACTTTAAAGAAATCATCAATGTAGCATTGCCCATAGACTAAGACATTGGACATAAATATGCATAGATTGTCAAAGATTCCTTAAAAAAGAACAAGCTGGGCCGGAGATTTAGCTCAGTGGTTTCGCCGCCTGCTGCGCAAGCGCAAGGACCGGAGTTCGATCCCCGGTACAAAAAAAAAAAAAAAAAAAAGAACAAGCCAACCCCATCTTAGCTTAATCTTACTTTTTTCTCAGAAAGCTACGTTCACATGAAAATGAGCTGAGACCAATTTATTTTTTAATATGAAAAAAACCCGACTCAAGTCTTCACCATCTTTTACACATACTCTTGTTTCCTTCGCAGGCAACTTTCATCCTTCTCCGGTTTTTTGGACCCCAAGGACAATCACACAGGAGTGCAGATGCATCGTGGCAATCCACTGACTAGCATTACCTCCAGCTTCTGCTGTATTTTCCCTTTGTTCTATCAGGAATTTCAAAATGATTAGAGGAAGAAAAAGAACATCTGGAAAAAGAGACAACTAGGGATAGAAGTTAAGCTTACCAGCAGCTCTGTCTATAATGACCTGCCCTAAATTAGCCAACAAGAAAAGATTTTCCTTGCCATCTATTTCATCCCCTCTAGTCCCTGTGGAAACACATGGTCCAGCCCTGCCTTTCCCATGAACTATGAAACAGTTGAATTCACCATGGCCTAAAGCATAGCCACGCATCTGTGGCTTTGGAGAAAACAAGTGGAGGAAATAGAGGAGACAGGTGAAGGCAAACCAGGAGGAAGGTTCGTAAACAAAACCCAGAGATGAGGCTGGATGTCACGACCCCCGTGATTCCCCACGCTGGACTCATACCTGCTGTCTTCCTGAGCAAAGGGCTGTTCCACATCCACCGTCAGGGAGGCCAGAGCAGAAACAGTCTCTGACTCCTCTTGCAGCTGAGCACCAGGCAGAGCACAGCCCCTTGGCACAGCCACCATCCTGACCGACTTCCAGTACTTACCTAGAAAAAACATTCATCGCACTTTATAGGAATTTTAGTTAGAGCGGTAGTAACCCGAATACTCGCATAGGTCCAACTCAGAGCAATTGTTAAGGTAAAATTCTCCCTGCCATATACCGTTGTAATTTGTTTTCTTAACTGTTATGATTAAGTCTTTTTCTTGATCTAAGAATGCCAACTTGTGAAGTACTCATATTCCCAAACCTGAATCTGTCCTTTACTCAGAAGGTAATAAATTGGGGAATAATCCACTCTCTAATGAACTCACTAACAGACTAACAGCTGTCTGCACAACTAAGTAAGCAAATTCTAGGCACTGTGCCCCCTGCGAAGCTCACAAGAGATCTAAAGGGAGAAGTTTCCTGGAGAAAATGAATGAAATTGCAATGTTAAAAATTGCCACTTGGGCCATTAACTTTTTTTACATCAAGTTGGAATATTAAAGAAAGAAGGAAAGCTCAGCATTGCCAGCATGAATCTAACTGCAGCTTTGCCAGAACAATCAGGTTTGTTAGTCCTGGATGTTCTTTCTTTCTCAACCTCAGGGTGTGTACTAGAACAATAATTGATTTAAAAATTTAATATAATATATGTACTTGCTGATATTGGAATCCATCCATATGTCATATTGATGTTTCCTTTTTCAGACAGAGAAGGAGAATGAGAATGAGAGGAAAGTAGAAGGTCATTTCATGAAAACATGCCAGTAGGATAAATAGGAAGGAGCAAAGTCAAAAGCCTACTTGCACCCCCTAAGCTATTTTTGTGTGCATGTGAAGTGGCGAGTAGCACCTCAGTAAACCTAGGAATGTCCTTAGGTGATGATGCAACTCACCAGGTGAGAACTATTTCTGCAGCCTGAACAATTAGGCAGGAATGTGGCATGCAGATGGTTTGTTTCTTTTTTTAAAAAAAGAAATAAGCCAGTCTTTTTAAATGGAATAGACAGATAGGTGACTACTGGGTCCTACAGTAAGGCTCTGGATCCATCTGTGTCTTTGACCTCCTTTATCATGTTCCTGAAGCTTACTGGGATATCATTTATTTATTATTGGTATATCTTTGTGACACATGGTACTTATATTCAGCTTGGGAAATTGGTACATACACATACTACATATTTTTGCCTCTTCAAAGCGGAATATTGCCTCAAATCCCTTGAAGCTCTGACATTCATGGGTGGCCCCCCTTTATCTTATTGCTTCACAGAGAAATGGGTATCACATTAAAGGAGGAGTACTAGTCTCCCCACCCATTCCCCATGGCAAGAAGAACTTCTGACACAGGTGTCCACTATGACTTGCTATGATCATCTATTCTAGCTAAAGACTGACCCAGAGCTTTTAATTTGAACAAAACAGTAACAATTCTGTCAATAATGCACAAACTAATAATATTTTCAAAACTAGGGCTGTGCCAGATGCTGAGGGCATAGAGATCCTCCTGGAACCAAGAAATGCATAGTCTATTTGAGATAGCTCTATTAGTTAACAAGGGCAGTTCTGGGTGTAAGAGTCCCATATCATTCTTGAGAGGGAATAAGAATATATACTTCTGATGATGGCAAAGGAAAGGAAGACTTGCAGAAAAAAGTTACTTGACCTAGTATTTGAAAGATGAGATGAACTTAATTAAGCTAAACTAGATGGAGGCAGTGGTGCTAGATCATCCTTGGAAGAGGAAATGGTACACGCAGATGTATAGAGAGAAGAATCTATGTAATTTATTGGGAATATTTAACTGCTGAGTACAACTGGGACACAGGAAGAGTCTGGAGTGTAACAGATGAAACTTCCCTGGTAGGCAAGGGCTAAACAACACACAATCTTGAGTAACATGCCAAAGATCTTGGACTCCAACCTGTAGAGAACGAGAGGCCATTGTAAGTAGAAGAAGTATAGAATAGGGTTTGTGTTTAAAAAAATATATCTGGAGATATCACGGTGATGGACTAGAAGGCAGTAGCAGGAAGACCAATTGTGTATCTTGACAAAAGTCTAGGTGGGAAGTAATGATATCTAAACTAAAAGGAAGTGGCTGAATGGCAGTAAGTGAGAGAATTCTGAGAGAGGTTTAGGAAGTAGGCAATAGAAATGTATCTTAGTTTGTTGTTTGGTTTCCCCTAGGTCATTCAAAGTTGCCCTCGAATTGATAGTTACATTCCAACTTCCTAATTTCTCTAAAACACAAAGCAATTACTATCTTACACAAATTGGAAATGCTATATTTCAAAAAGGAGAGTTGTAACGAGTTTTACAAAATATCATTACTAGGCATTATTTTAGCACACAACATTCACAATGTTAGTGACGCTGGGTGGCATAATTTCCTTGTTCTCTAAAAGGCTAACACGGGGACTCTGACAAACACACCAAAGATGGCTGGTGCATTATGGGTCAAATTATGCTATAAAGACTACAGCAGGGCCGGGGATTTAGCTCAGTGGTTTCACCGCCTGCTGCGCAAGAGCAAGGACCCGGAGTTTGATCCCCGGGACCCAAAAAAAAACTACAGGAAAGAGGTACTAGCATTGTTGAGCACCTAATATGTACGAAAGATAGTTCTGAGTATTTTTACATTTACAATTTGCAATTTAATTTAATTCTCATGACAACTATGTTGGTAATATCAGGTAACTTTTTCCGAAGGTTGCATTGCTATTAATCAGAGGAGCTGAAATCTTTATTCAAAATGGCCTAATTCTTAAGTTTCTTCCTCTGTATTCTGTTATCCACCCACCTCCATCTTCCTTCTGGTATACATAAAAAAAAATAGTCTCAACACATGAAAGTGTCAATTTAAAAGGATTAATGCACACTATAAATTCTTCACTGTTGTGGTTTATATCTTCATCCCCGCCCCGCAAAAGCCTCATGTCCTCATAGGCAGGGCTTTTGGGAAGTGTTTGGATAATGGATTAGTCCACTGATGAGTTTATAGCTAAATGTGATGTTGGGAGGTGAGGCCTGGGCAGAAGATGTTGGAGTGTGACCTGGCAGGGACACTCTCTCTCTCTCTCTCTCTCTCTCTCTCTCTCTCTCTCCCCCTTGGTCTCTGCTTCCCCACTGAGATTCCATAAGCAATCCTCCTCTGCCAAGTCTTTCTGCCATGTTGCCCTGCCTTGCAGCAAGTCGACTACGGACAAAACCTCTACAAACTGTGAGCCAAAATAAACCTTTACCCTTAGAGCTGTGGGTGTTGGGTATTGTGTCTCAGTGATGAGAAAGTAACTCAGACCACTCGCTTGATCAAAGAAATGATCTCTAATAATAACAAGCTGCCTTTGTTCCTTAGATACATGCCTCCATCCACATTTTATTGACTTTCTAGTCCGGGTTTATAGCACAAAGTAAAACTAACGTGTACAAATTAGTTCATATATATATATATATATATATATATATATATTTGAATTTTAAAAATTTATTTATTTTATTAGTACATGTTTGCAGTCCATAATATCCACACTAGTTTTTTCTACTCTTCATTTATCATAACCTTGTATTATTGCAAGTAGCAATTTACCAGGTAAACCACTGATGAAGCTACCATAAAATTGGAGATAAGTTCTCACTGAAGAGTATAAATAAGAATTCCACTGAAGAAGGAAGTCTGAACTAAAAGTCATGACTTCCAGATTGGAGACCTCATGTTAACCCCAGAAAAGTCACTGGATCATTGTGGAAAAAAATTGGCATATTTATAAAATGACAGTTGTGGGCTTAATGATTATGAGAGGTTTATTCTTGCTTTAATTCTCAGTGATGGTGATTCTCCTGATCTGATGTTACACACCACTCTGATATCACAGTAACTTTGTTATGGAAGAAAGCCTTACTTCTCTATGAGCCTATGAACCCTTGAAGAAATCAGAAAGCACATACTTTTAGATAACATAGCATATCTTGAATAATCAAGAGTCTGTATTTTCAACTGAACATTTTTCTTTAAGAGACCTCTTGTCAGAAAAGAAGACAAACATCTTTACTGCCAAAGGATGAGGACAGAAGATATGAATTATTAACAATAATTTTTAAGAAAAATGACTGGCAATGATTGTTTAAATGTTGGCCATTATGCATATGAGTATTAGGAAGGCTTTTAAATAGGTTTTAAATAAAGTTGAATACATATAAAATACTCTACTAATATTAAATACTAGGAGTTTCACTTTTATACAAATGGATAAGGTTTCTAACTCAGAAATAACACAAAACTTTAAATTCAGTGTGGCCTGTAGCAGGCTATAAAAAACAAGGTCAAATTTTCTACATTAATAATACATTTATAGACCACTATCTCTATTCATAAAGGAAAATAATTAAAATACAAGTAAGTAAAGCTATGTAATATGTGATCAACTCAAACCCATAATTATGGGTTATATTTTCACATGACATGTAAAGTTTTTTTTTTCTAACAGAAACAGATGTGTATGAAAATCATATCTATAGGCTTGGGAATAATAACACCATTGGCACATAAGAGAAATGAACCAAGGTTTACTACCAGAGTTCTCAGGAGCTGCTATTCATAAAGTAAAATATTAGAATTCAGTCACCACTGGGTTGTTCTCCTATGGCAATAAACTGGCAAAAAAAGAGGAGTTTTCCATTAAAACTGGACATGCACACTCCCTCTTCAGTCATATCTTTTATCCTTATTCATTTTTCCCACTATGTAAATCCTCCTACTTTTCAGCACTTTTTAAAAAACGACTATCCAGCCCTCATTATTCTGCAGTTTTGTTTTATCTGGCAAAGGTAAAGCAAAGAATGAATCCACAATAAATGTATAAAGTATATAGTGGAAAGCAGACAGTCAAGAGCTGGAGGTGAGAACCAGATATGGAGTTTCACTGCTCAGAAAGGCAGGAAGAGAGGGCATCTTGCAGGTACCTTGTCATAAAACTCCAGGAAAAACTAAATTACTCTTGGTAATGCACAATTTGACATGTAGTTGTTAACTTATGAAGTTCTATATTAAAAATAACCCCTCAA